TTGGCCTCGCACAACCCATCCATCCATGAAACTTCCACCAAAACTGCATCACTAGTGTATGCTAGCCATACATAACACTGGACCCCATAGACTTTCGAATATCCAATCCTACCCTAAGCTCCCAATCAGACAAGAACAAAACATAAGGCCAAATCAAACATTCTCAGGCTATAAGGTCTTAATTAAGTATAACTGTGATGCATACACTAAGCAACTACAGTAATGATATCAATTTCATATAAAGGAATCCCTAGGCTAGTAGGCATCATGTAATCAAGCAATTCTATCATGCAATTCCTGAAGATCCCTAACCTAGTACTAGCATGTTGTTCTAACATATCACATAATCAAATAACTATATGGTATTTTGGGGTCTACTTACTGGCTCCGGCTGATCGTAAACTTCACATCCTCTTTTACTTATTTTGAAAACCATTTAAAATTCATTTTGAAAATCTTTCCTTGATTTGACACTGGATTCACATGAATGTTCCTCCAATTCACTCAAACCAAGGGTCTGATACCAACTTGTAACACCCATAAAATTCGAGCCAATTTAAAACTTTTGGAATCATTTAAAACCATTGAATTTTTACAATTAGTTTTCAAAAGAGTTTATACATCAGAGTTCCCAGAAATCATAATCATCAATTGAGGAAGTGTACGGTCACGCCTTTGCCTTCCCGCAGTCTTCTGCTGAACCTGAAACAATAAACTGAAATTGTTAGCCTGAAATCTTAGTGAGTTACCCCCAAAATACCAACCTCATAACCGTAATCATATAATATCAACAAAAATAGAACAACCATGCATCTCGAGTCTATAGTGTGACAGGTCCGCCCGCACCAGGCCTTCAGTCCACCTGGTCCACTCTCTAAGTCTACACTATGACTGGACCACCCGCACCGACCTTCAGTCTATCTGGCCCACACTCCGAGCCTCGACACGTCTGGACGGCCCTCTCGGGGCCTTCAGCCTATCCGAACAGCTCGTCGGGCCTTCGGCCTGACTAGGTGCCCTCCTGGGCCTGTAGTCTATCCGATATGCCCTGGGTATGTTGGCCTATAGCACGAAGAAGGACCCGCCTCAACCCAATCCCCAAACAAACAACCATGTGCACATATAACAATTAATCACATAACAGTGCATAGACGAACAAACCGATCTAGCAAATCATATAGCATAGCAACATCCTAACCAGGATACTGACCTAACCGGTCACTAACATAGCATCATCATATATACCAGGATACCGACCTAAACTAGTTCACTAACATAGCATCATCCTATATACCAGGATACTGACGTAAACCAGGTCACTAAACATAGCACCGTCCTAATTACCAGGACACCGATCTAACAGATCCATAAGCATATCAAACAAATACAAGTATACAATCCGAGAATGGGCCGACCTTGGTGCCTTAGACCCTGTTGATATAGTGAGGATAACTCACCTTGCAAAGCCGGACTGAACCACGAAATCATGCTCCCGAAGCACTGCCCCAAACTCGAAGACCTATAGCCATCAATGATCCAATTTATAAATACCTGCATACCAATTATCCTCAAAAGTCAAAGTCAAAGTCAACTATCAAGGTCAACAGTCCATGTTGACCTCAACTCATCGAATACCCTCAGCTACTTGCCGAGCTCCTTGCATAACATGCCAACTCGCTGAGTCACCATGCCGCTCGCCGAGCCTAAGGCAATCTTCATCAGACTCGTCGAGTTGTTCATCCAACCCATTGAGTTTATCACCATCTTCATATGACTCGCCGAGTTTACCATGCGACTCGCCGAGTCCTTTGAGTCCTTCATCCATATAGATGCTTTTTCAGCCATGTTAGGGCTCCATACTGCATACCCAAGTTCCCATGGCATGCTTATCATGTAAAGTTGCAAACTTTACGTGCATGCAAGGCTCTAATGACTCAAAATGCCAAAACCAAGCTTGAAATGGGGTTTTACACTTAAAGATGGATTCTTGTTTGCCAATGCTGATAGCTTTATGGACTTACAAATCAAATAGATTTCATATATGAAGTTACAACTTTATAATTGAGCACATACCCAAGAATAGCGTCATAACAAAGCCAAGAAGCCCTAACTTCATCCAAAGAGATCTAGAAAGGAATGAGGCCAAGATCATGAATTGATACCTCAAATGAAGATAATTGAGATAGATTTTGTAGATCCACACGAGTCCCTTGTTACTAGCTACTTGACCTTCAAGCTCCCTTCACAAGTTCCACCTTCCAAAGCTTAAAAACACACTCAAATGAAGCTCTCCCACGAAATAAGGTTTTCTGGACTCTCTAGAGGTTGTAAGGGACTAGGGGGGCTAATGGTTCCTTAAATAGGGTGCAAAACCCCAAAATTTAGGGTTTCATCTGTAAGTTCCTACTCGTCGAGACCCTCCTTTGACTTGGTGAGTAGGTCACTTAAACATGCGGATCAGCCCGCTGCTACTCGACGAGTCATGCAACCGACTCATCGAGTAGACCTTGAAATCATGAGAAATTATCACCACAAATTGACACATGGGAATCGGGGCATTACAAACCAAAAAGGTGAAGACTTGAGGACTTAAAAGGAGTCCAGAAGATACACACAAGGAGTATAGATGAGTAGCTTGCTGGATCAAATCACTAGATTTCCTTCTTCTTCCTTCCAAGATCACCAATACACCAAAATGAGCTCAAAGCATGAAAAATGGGCTTGGGTTTACCAAAGACTCTTTGGAGGTGATGGAGGTTGAGGTGGAGGAAACCCTAGCCGTCACTTCCTTTGAATAGGGCCTTAAGCCCAAATATTAGTGTTTTGTATTTCTGTTTTCATGACGTCGTGGCAAACATCATGCAATGTTGCAATGCGGTTAATGAAACATGCGTTCCATGTAGAAATTCCATGTTGTGGTGATCCTATCACCATGTTGTGGCCAACAAACAATCTCAAAATTACAAAGTGGAATTCATACCTGAAACCGAACATTACATTTGAGCTCATCCTCTCTCATCTCATCCAATTTTGGTGTGATTTGGTGGCTTTAGGATAAAATCTTCTTGAAATATTGATCGTTAGAGCTTTGAAATTGAAGTGAAAAACCCTTATCAATCTTTTGGGCCTTTGTAAGTCATAAAGATCCAAGATTTATTGCTTTTCATCTTTAGATATAAGATATATTAGTGTTTTGGTCTATTTTAATGAAGTTGTTGTGCCTTTATGGATTAATCTTTGGAGTTTGGAAAACTCCATGAGCTTAGAGTCATGTTTTACTACAACTCTGACCTTTTAGAGGAGATTTGAGTGCATGTTCATGTTCTCTTTGTTGCATGCGTGAAGAAAGGTGCATTCTTATAATTTTTGGAAACTATGGTTTTAGATTTAGTTGGTATGGGGAATTTTTATAGATAAAGTTGGAAAGTTTATCTATTTAGAAATTATTTAGATCCAAATATAAGAGTTGGAGGCGTAGACTTAATGTGTTAATTCAAAAAATGTTACTTGATCTGGTAGGACATGATGCATCCCCTAAAGGCACTTCTAAATTATTCAGAGGCGTGTTTGAAATTGAGCGAAACCCAACTATTTTGTCATTTTCTGGATGCGGGGGCGCCCTGATTGGATGTTGGGCGCCATCTAAAACAAGTTTTATAAGACCAAAACAGTTTAGGCCTTAGGGTAATGTTTCTAGTCCATTTACAGCAGCAAAACTCAAAAATATGCATTCAGGGCCTCCTACTCGTCGAGTGCAAGAACCTACTCAATGAGTAGGATAAATTAACACATGGACTCATCGAGTCCCCCCATGGACTTGGCGAGTTCACTCAGCAGAATGCAGAAATCTTGAGTTTTTTCAACAATTTGCATCAAGCACTACTAGAAAAACAGCCTTTTACGACGCTCATTGCGCGTCTTAAATGGCTTAGACGACGCGCAAATGCGCATCAAGGAAGGCCATGTCATAAAGAGAGACGACGTGCATTTACGACGCTCGTTAACGACACGTAATGCGTATCAAGGAAGGCCCTATCATAAAGGAATACGACACGCATTCGCGTGTCATAACCTTACGACGCGCATGTTAATGACACACATTGCATATCAAGAAAGCCCCTGTCAAGAAAGGCCATGTCATAAATGAAGACGACACACATTTTTTAGTATCGTAATTTTAAATGTTTAAAAAAAATATTATTTATAGATTTACTTATTTTCAAATTAAATATGTATTTAATGTTTCATAATAGAAAATAAAATATCATATACAAAAAAATAGAACCCGTTGCATAAATTTAATGTCATACAAATAATCGTTCATTGGAAAGATAAAACAATTCAATAGAAGTTGTAACAAAAATTAATTTACAAACGAATTAGATACAAAAAATACAATCTAGTTCCCCTTTGCTTATTCAAGATCAACCTGCAAGTAACTAACTAATCTGTACAAATTCACCCTTGTTTCTAATCATTTTCTTAAATACTTTACAAACATAATTCATCCATAGTACCTGAACTATAGTTGCAGCCTTGTTTCTTCTTCTTCTGAACTCATCTCTTGCAACCATTGCTCTAAGCCTAGTCTGAATAGATACAACAACTCCTTGTCAATTATGTGAAAAATTTAATTGGTTTGTAGAGGAAAGGGATGCATGATTAACAGCAACACATAAAGGTCTAGGAGCATAGATTAAAAAAAAAAAGAGGCAACAATCTCTCCAAAAGTGCCTTTGACAGATGAAGAAGTGAGTTCTAATATTTTGTCACCAACAAATGAACATTATGCATCCGCATTACAACATTCTTTGACAGTAATCCGAGTGAATAATCTTATAATCAAAATCATGAAAATCATATTTATATAATATATTTCATCATTTTCATGCAAAATTTATAAAAATGTATGTTAGACTAAGTTACATTAAAACCTGAAGAATTATCAGTCAAAACCTTATAAAAATCAGATTTACTTTCCTTTTTATCCAGAGTGACAATTAATCAGCACAAAACATACCACCAGACCCGGAAGGCTGCCCTGGCACATAAGCACTAGTTGAAAATGAAAATCCTTTTGTCCAACACATTCGTACGCATTGATTATTAGTCATTGGATACCTATTGATAAGATGAAGAGGATAAAAGTTTTACTTTCCTTTTCACATGCATACTGATTTGCCCAAGAGGTAGAAGAAGGGCCTGCATTATATTACTGTTGGTATTCATTTTCCCAGTCCCCACCTGCAGGCCTGACCTGGTTATCCTTAATAGTTAATTCCCCATGACTTGTCTTTGAAACAAACTGAAGGAACTTGCAGTTCTGCATATTATTTGCCAAACCAAATAAATAATATATTGATTATAAAATAAAATAAAATAAACATTTTAATTCAAAGTAAGTAAAGTAACCTGAAACTTTGGATTGGTGTTCTGAGCTAAAGTGTGTGCTAGCATTCGGGTCTGCTCCATAGCAGCCAAAGATGGAATGTTTGCACCTGCCATTCGGTCCACAGACATCATCTGCATTTGCTCCTGAAATCAATAACATCAGAATTAATAGTAAGTCAACATTTAACTATTATTTTAATTATTTATGTGAAAGAGCTCACTAACATGCTGGAATTTAAAAGCCCAACCCACAGTACCATTTTGTCGCTCAAAGGATAAAGCCAAAGCATTCGGGTCCCCACCGTGTTGTTGGGAAAATTCATCAGCCCAACAATACTGATCCAGCTCTGCGTATCTACCAGGCATGTGCTCCCTAACCAACCCCCATGATTATCAATCTATAAAGAAGATAACAGAGCATTCACCTGAACAAGTATTAATGTATGTATTCAGTTCATCTATCAAGATTGTATCTTAGGTAGGTCAATAGACTAGCTGTAGCTACTCTAATTTTCATGGTTTATAGAACATGTTGTAATTTCATCTTCAATAGTCCTGCCAAATATTTTGATTTGAATACTTAATTACCAAGCGACCTTTCACATTACAGAAAATGATAAGAACACGAAGCATGGCCATGTCACTAAATGAGGCCTTATCTTATTACAATAGAATTGGTTGTTGTTGTTGGAAAGAAGAATATTTTATTTTTAGCTAACTTTCCTAATTCCTAGGTTAGTTCTCTTGTTTATATGTAAAATCTTCATCAACTTCTTTCTGCTCACATTTCTTACATCAGGTCTGATTCCCTTGACCTTGAGCAGAATATCCAACTTCATCCCTTATCAATGAGACAATTGCAGTAGCTACAAGTTTTAAAATTTTATCAAATACTTTTATCCCTTTATCTATTCATTTCTTCATGTACCAAAACTTGATTCTAATTATAAAGACTACAAGGACATTTATGATGAAGAAAACACATCCCTGACACAAGATAAACCTTCGACAAAACAAGCCTTTTTTGAATAAGCTAATTCATTTGGGGCATGCAATTGGTTCTATTCATATTAAGTATTAAGATTTAAGAAACAAATAAACGATAGAATAGGGCATCCTACTTTTGCTTATCTAATAAGGTCGTTCCCTCCCCGAATCATAACATGGAACGTAAAAATTAGGTTACTCCTCTTCAATATAGTTAATGGGTAAAGCACTTAATCTACACAACTTTATGGGGCTGTTTCTTTTTCATGTTTCTACCATAAAAATTAGGTTACTCCTCTTCAATTCAGTTAGTTTCTTATCGGCAAAAAGAATGGTATTAATTTGTTTGTTTAGTTTTAATGGCAAAAGGTGAAAGATGGAAGAGTTTGGGAGGTTGAAAAGGGATTATTTGATAAAGGGTCCCCTGAACAAAATTCATGGCAGGCTTTCCTGAGGAGAATCCCATAAACAACTCCAAATATGTTAGAACAAGAAACAATGGGCACCAGAACAAGCAAGCGGCTGAAGGCGGCACCACCAGTTGGGGTTTTGGAGCGGAAAGCTTCACAACGGTTCCTACCTCTACTAACTCTCACTCTCAGGCAAACACAACACCTAATATACCACCAAATTACAATAATATCCTTCAAACTTCAAACTATAAAGTAGGAAACAATATTATAATGTGTTGAACCTGGCACCTAATTAATTAAATAATCACAAAAATAGTAATTACTAAATAATTCTAATCTGTACATGTTTATATAATATATAATATATAATTAATTACCCGAAAGTTAATAACAATGAAGAATTTTGGGCTACCATCAGCTGCATATTTGTGAACAATGTTCCCAGGGCAAATGGCCAGATGATCTTCACGCTTGTCAGATTTAAGCCAGTCAGCACTAACAGTTTTTAGCAATGTACATTTTGCTGTAATCTGGTAAAAAAACAGACAATGATTTTTACTGTTTTATAAATGGTAAACAAAAATCAGTTTTTTTTTTTTTTTTTTTTTTTTTTTTTTTTTTTACGTTCTTTCACAAAAGTTTCTCCACGGTCTGGAAATAAAAAGGTTTTGGTGACGACCAACTGTGGGCCAGATTACCAGTTTGATCTTCTGGAAGAGTGATTATGTAGTCACATTCTGATTCATCATCAAAATCAAAAAATTCATCTGAATAATGATCATCCATTTTTACAAGGTCTGAATCATTTGAAGCTTCATTATGATGCTGCATCAAACTGTTTTTCTTCAATTCTTGTGGACCGAACTCGGTGAATACGTAATGCGATAAGTTTGTTTTAACAAGTTCTCTTAATGCTACATATACATAGACTGATTCAGTGTAAAATAAAATTTTAAAAAAATAATAATAAATAAATAAAGTGTGAAGAAGCAACCTGCAAGTATCCCAAGCATTTGAATTGTGACACATTGGCCTAAAGATTTTTGCAAATAAGATCTTCAGAATTTCCAAATAATGGAAAGCATGTGTCTTACAACTAATTGTTTATACTGAATCCGTCACTGCCTCCACCTTTAAATGAAAAAGTTGGGACAAATTACAATAATATCCTTCAAACTTCAAACTATAACTACCACCGATGTTCTGGTTATTTGGAGGAGTTAAGAAACAAAGAAAGTAAGTCGGCTTCCCGACCTGCTAGATGGGTTGGTTTCTAGTCTTGCTGATGTTATTATTATATAATCACGTGTTAAAAAGATACATGTCTTGGGATCTTGTCGACATTTTAAGAAAACTGGTTGGACTTGGGGTATTATGTTAATATCAGGGGTCAAGAACATCTGAAACAAATGATTGTTGATTTATTGGGCATGAGCTTCTTTTTTCTCTTTTGGATTACATATTCCAACTCCATTCCATGCATCTTATTAATTAATTAATTGTTGACTATCAACTTACCTTTTGTTGTGTTATACCTATACATATTACTCTGTTAAAAATCTAATAAAAATCAAATAACACATATGATAAGAAAGAAGTAGCCATTGGATCATTGATCATTCAGTTTAAGGTGGCTTCATCATGTCATACCGTTATGGTTTCTAAATACCAAAGGATGTCAACACCAACTTCGTACACATCATCGTTTTTCACTAATTTAGTTAGGATATATTTAAGAAATGGTACTTAAGGTTATAATAAGGTAATGAGCTATTTGAAATGCTTAGTATCTGTCATCTTACCTTAAAATAAAAAATTCAGTTTTTTTTAGAATAATGTTTGTCATAATGGAACCAAAACCTCTGGAAAAAAAACAAACAATCTTTTTAAGTTTTATGAACAATAACAGAGATGATTTGGCAAGAGGGAGACAATGGAAAAAAGACAAACTTACCCATGAACAAACTTTCTGCCAGGCTTTGAAAGTTCTGAACAAATTGACCCAAGCACTTTAATGTCTGATAGAGGAATAGAATGTGAAAAGTGAGTGTACATTCACATAAATGGAAAGTTTGACTTATAAGTTAAAAATTATAAAATAGAGTTGAGTGGTCAGGAAAAATTAGCATTAATTTTTTTTTTTTTATCATTTTTTAGCTTAGTAAGCTTATTTATAGTTTAATGAATAGATTGAAAATGAATTTGTTACTTTCTTTCATATTGATCAAAAACTACCTCAATAGATCTGAAATTAAATTACCTTGCCATAGAGGAATTTGACTAATGCCTTCTTTCATATTCATTAGCTAGGCAGGTAAAAAGCTGAAAAAGAGTAAGTTTTTAGTGAGGGATCATGAATTCACGGTCATGTGTAAATCAAGTGATGTTATAAGGCTGATTTAGGTGAGATAGCTCTTTCAAGCATTTTGTCAAATAGTTGGAGTGCATAGCTCCTCTCTTTCCTTTTCTGATCTACTTATTGGAATTATCACCACTTTGAGATCATACAACTCCATAGTTGGTTCTTGATTTTAAGAAGTTATTCTTATAACCTAGTTGTATATATTAATAATTGGATACCTGTTACATGTGCTTGACAGATAGCTTCCCAAACAACAGCTAGTTCAATGCCAATAGCTACAAGCTGAAATGTGAAATAAACTTGTTTTCAGAGATGAGAAGTAGATGCAGAAAAAAAAAATCAGAGGCATAAAAGAGAAATCGATAATACCAGATAAAATCGCACATGAAGGGAAAAATCATAAGCCTTTTTCTTAATTGAGAAGATGAAGTCGAGATATGAATGAGAAATTGTGTGCCCCCTTATTTGTTGACCGAATGAAGAAATAGGGCAGGGTAGAAGCGTCCTTTTCATACCTTAGTGCAATCAGACCTTGGGCTTGTAAACCTGAGGAGTCTTAGTAGATGCGGTAGGGTGGGGAAGAGGTGGAACGGTGAGCCTGAGGAGTTGATATCTTATGTACCAATGGTGATATATTACTTGTCATTCTTCTATGACGAGTATGAGATAGATTGATTGATAGGTGTGTAGTCGCCGATGTTGTAGCCTGAGGAGTCGTAGTTGTTGAACGACGTTGCAAACGAGAGTGAAGTGAATAGGGCGTAAGTCTCCGATAAAAAAAATCCCTAGCTTACGTTGTGTAGGCTTGAAGAGTCGGTGTGGGTTGGAGGTAGTGGAGGTGGGTGAGGGGCGGAGATGAAGGAGAGGAGATGTTACACAACAGATTGATACGAATATAGGAGAAGAAAGCGGGATTTAAAATTTTTTGGGATTTCATTTTCCCTCTAAGAAGAGAAATGCGGTTTCTTAAAAAAAATATAAAATGACATTCACAGAGGACACACAAGTGCCCTTCGTGTTTTTGATTTTTTTTTTACATGAGACACTAATTTAAGGGCACGCAATAATGCATGACCTAGATCCTTAAATTTTTTGAATAGATGACACTTTTTTAATGTCGCTCTCTTTTGAGTAACATAAATCAATGAGTGTCGTGGTTTGCGCTTCGTAAAAGGGTTTTTTTCTTGTAGTGAAGTATCAAGAAACCAAGCCTAGGCTTTAATACCACTGAAGGGTTTAGAGCATTCTAACACTCCTAAGGTGTACATGCAACCCTAGAAACCTTGGATCTATGTTTTACTAATATACTTGCAAATTTGATTTTCCAAGGTTCTTAACCTAACTAGAATGGCATGGGGAACTTTGAAACATAAAAGCTAGTAGAAGAACATACATTTTTGTTGCTTGGATTCCTTAAGAACTTTATAAGCCTAGCACCTAAAATGTGATGCCTCAAATGTTTCACACAACATCACAACTCTAGGAATAACCTTGAGAGAAGTTCATTATACTCAAAATCGGCTAGCCCTCTTGTTCTACACATAGTGCCGATTTTGGTACCCTATAGGGTCCTTTTATAGTTGTGTCACAAGTAGGGTTACAACATGTAAACCCTAATTGACATGACTTTTCATATTCCATGATCCATGGGTTTATAACCTCCATGGACTATCCATGGAGCACCTTATGGGTTTTAGTGCAATTCAATAAACCATGGATCATTAGCCCACTATAAAAGAGTGGATGATTTACACAATCAACCCCATATATTTAATTAGTCTCCTTTTGATCACCAAATTAATTCTAAATTAATTCTTGATCAATACTAATTAAATAATATTATTAATATATTAGAACTTATAATATATTAATAAACCTTAAGTGTCCTTTTGTCTCATTTAGTCTATCCAAGTGTTGCAATGCCATGCAACCCAAATGGACCATGCCAACCAGATCAACTACATCCCATAAATAGTTATGAACTTAGACACATAATCCAACAGTACATTGAGCATACCCACCTAGTATGATTCACATACAAGCCCCAAAGGGTGTACGTTTGGCATACCAAATAAGTATGTAGGGCATACTCGACATGGTTGACTAGGGTTGACCATTTAGTATTTAGGTATTTTTGGATATTGGGACTTCTCGGGATAGGTCTATGATGGATTTGGGCCTAATTGGGGTAATTGGGCCTTATTGGGCTTGTAGTGCCATTTCGGGTTCGGGCCATCTTATGGGCTTGTATTGCATGGGGTTTTGTTGGGATAGCTATAGTTATGTGTTTTGGTTCAAAAAAGTAGATGGGCTTTAAGGAAAGGCCTATGTAAGGGTTTTGGCCCAATTTGGAAAATTAGGCCATTAGTAGGCTTTTATGGATTTTGTAGTTTTGGGCTTAGGCCTTAGTTGTGAGTCTTGTTGGGCTAGGGGTAAAATGAAATTGTCATTTTACCCTAAGTTTGGATTATGGATCATGGTTTGGAACCCAATTGCTAATTGGGTGATATTATGGTGTTGTTAGACCGGGAAGTTGTTAGGGCAACAACTAAGGATTTCTTGCAATGAGCTTCAGCATTCGAGGTGAGTCTCCTCATTATTCTATGGGTAGAAGGAACCAATGTCGACCCATTTGGTTTATGTGATGTAGGAAGACCCGAAGGTGACCCTTGACATTTGTATGAAAGACCAGGAGGCGACTCCTGGCAATCATATGCAAGACCAGAGTCTGAACTCTGGCAGTTAATTAGTTAGAAATGGTAGATTATATGATAGTTGAATTCATGATGCTTGCATGGAAGACTAGGAGGTGGCTCCTGGCACTTGTTTGTAAGACCCGGGGTTGTGGCCCCCGACCTGGCAAGGAAGACCACGAGGCGGCTCATTGCATAATGGCAAGACTATGGTTGGCACATATCACTCCTATTGATTATGCTTACGTGTGGTATGTATGGATCATGATTATGTATGTTATATAAGGATCGTTTGATATGTATAGTATGTGGTATTTGGGGAACTCACTAAGCTTCTTGATTACAGTTTTGTTTATGGTTTCAGGTATTTCCGATACGAAAAGGAAGGGTCTGACTTAATTGCAACGCATCCACCCGTATTTCCGCAATATGTGATTTTGGGAATGAACTCTGATAAATGTTCTGTATTGAAATGTTTGGAAACAATTACTCTAGTCTTTTGAATATAATAAAAATGAATTTTCTACCCTTGATTTTAGGATGTTACAGGAAAACTCATGTGTGGCTCAAAACCCATCAAGAAACCATATCCAAATCAATAATCATACCCAAAGTCCCATATGTTCATAAATTTGCAAGCGTTATGAGATCTCATCATTTCAAACTCATAAAAAATGAAGATTAAGGGACAAAAATGTAAGATCTAGCAATCTACTTTGATAAAAACAAGTTTTGGACACTTACAAGGGTCCAAAAGATTGCTAGCACAAAGGATGAGGGCTAGCTTGTTGAATCTAAACTTATTTCTTCTTATTTCTTCCTTCCAAGGCTTCAAGAACACCATAAAGGCACCAAATGAGGGGGGGGGAGAGAGAGAGAGAGAGAGAGAGAGAGAGAGAGAGAGAGAAAAAGAGAGAGAGAGAGAGAGAGAGAGAGAGAGAGAGGAGAGAGAGAGAGAGAGAAAAAGAGAGAGAGAGAGAGAGAGAGAGAGAGAGAGATTAGAGTTTCCCAGGTCTGATGAAGGCTGAGGGTAAGCAAACCCTATCCTCCTTATTCCTTTAAATAGGGAGCAAACCCCAAAAAATAAGGTTTCTCATTTGTCAGCTGTCACGTCGTGGCATATACTGTCACGCCATGGTGGCTTAAGTGAACACACGGGTTGACCTTGACTTGACATGTCGTGATGTTTCATAACTACGTCATGGCGATCCAATAAAAAGACTAAAATTTGCAAAATGTAAAGTACTTTGAGATTCAGATGTTACAATACTCTCATCATCTATAATAATATCATTTTCATCACCAATACTACCCATTTTTTCAACAAAATATTGATATATATATATATATATATATATATATATATATATATATATATATATATATATATATATATATAAACATGCCTATTAATGTTTATTTTTATCAAATTGTTTATGAAATTTATTTTTTCAACTATCTTCGATTTGTTTTACAGAAGTTCTTCACAAAATATTTATTTGAAGGTTTTCATAATTTGTGGCAACTTGAATTTTGTTGTGTTTGGAACATTTTTGAGTTTTTATTCATAAAAATATGTAATTTTTAGCTTTTACATCAAATCATGTTAACGCCTTTTCGCGTGCCTAAACTAAAATATCAAAAAATAAAGAGAAACAATATTTTTGTGTTTTGCAAGAAACATACATACATGAGATTAAATAAAATGTCTTATTTTGGAGAAAAAAAATATTAAAGTTACCATGTACCAAGACTAATGGGTGTGCACTCGACATGACTGAGGTGGCCTCAGCGTATAGCGTATACAACTCTGCATTCTCGATATCAAGCTCAATAAATAGATTTGGCATTTGAAGTTTTGAAGATGAGAAAAAAGTCCCTTTTGCCACCATCCACTATCTCTTTCTTTCCCTTTCTTAACCTTGGCAACAAAAATTCTAACATCTTTGGTGGGATGAGGTGGAGTTCGATGCCAACACCACTTCCCCCATGTGTCTGTTACGATGGCATGTGTCTGTTACGAGTGACCTCCCTGATGATATGATAATTTTTGTCCATGGACCTGATTACCACCAAAATTTGACCCTTTCTTTTGGGGAATCCATGAGTTGGTATTTTTGTCAACTTGGTCGTGTGTACTATGGTGAAGTCACTTGGGGTTCAAAGAATACAACTGTGGTATTGTACAATGATCACATCAAGAGGTTTTGTGGTCGTTTTAAGTTTGGTATTCAACATTGTTATTGGTTAATAACAACAGATGGATTTTACGTGTCTAGACACAATTCACCGTTTCCTAATTCAGATTGGCATTTCGAAGCACCTTGGAGTTGAATATTGTAATCTTGTTGACTTTATAATAAGATCGTAATTTTATATAAGCTAGTTAATGTTAACATGAGGTCTTAAATGTTAATTTCCATATCATTGATGTTGTTCCTATTATCATTATCTCCTCACCCCGTCCCTCATTAACTCATTGCATTTAAACCAACGCCCTCCCCACACTGCTCCTCTTTTTTTTTTTTTTTTTTTAGAGGTGTTCATTTGAATAGATCGATCCAATCTGATCACAACAAAATAATCTGAATTTATTTAGGTTTTGAAAACATAAATCCGAATAATCCTAACAAAATTTATATTTGATCTGACCCAACTAATTTATAATTCGCTTGGTTTTGGCTATTGGGTTTTCTAGATTCAAAATTTTGCAAAGCTATATATAACTTTAGGATTAATGAACTATATTTGGTGAAATTTAAATTTAAAAGCTATTCATATGATCCGATTTTCATGAATCCAGGTAAATAAAATAAAAGAAAATCGTTAACTTGAGAATTAAAATGTATACTAATTAACCTTTTTAGTTAGGGAAATTAAATATTCTCCTACATTTTCTTCCTACTTATCTTCTTACCCATATAGAATGGTGACATGTGTCCTATTTGGATAAAAATGACATTAATTTAATACATTTTTCATCATTTAAATTGGTACGAGGATATATAGGAAAAAAAATAGAAGGATATTTAATTTATCTTTTAGTTAAGATGTGACTTCTAATTTAATTTTAAAAGCAATGATAATATATTTATAAGAAACCAAAGACATATATCAAAAGAAAAAGATATAAATAAATAAATAAAATACATTATTCCGTTAGTTTAGAATATTTGGTTATAATTTTAGGAATCTAAACAAATCCAAAATCTAAAATAATAATTGGATTTTGGTCGAATCCAATCCAAAATCCAAATATTTAAAAAAAAAACATATAATCCAATCTAAATTGTCTATTTGGATAATTTGGTTTTATTCGAATAATGAACAATTCTAGTCACCGCCATCGACAATGTTCTTGTGAGTGAGCTAGAATGGTGGCTCACAAAGCCAATGATCTCGGAAGGATGTCTTATATGTCTGTTGTATGAGTTTATTGAGTTATATGCTAGGACTGGTTAGTCAGCAGTATGGTAGCCTGATTAGGTTATGCTTGGTAATGGTTATTCAATGCACGAATGTTGCTTGTTTTGTGCTTATAAGGGTTCACGCTAGCTTTAACTAACTAGTAAGCGAATATGTAATAGTATTCACAAGCTAGATAGGGAAAGATGGTAGGGAATCCTTGTATACCTAATGGTGGAGAGTAGGTCGGAGAGTGCCCTAGGACAAGCCTAGGACGAGATTAGTTTGGAAAGCAATATTAGTATAAGGGACTTGATGAAGTCGAAGCAATCCTTGAGGAAAGTACGGATAGATGTGGAAGATAGTATGGGCCCGTACTACTGGAAGCAGAGGATCCGTACTCGAATCAATGAGGGCTAAGATAGAACCAGGAAACTTGGAGAATGTGTGAGACCTCTCGAGAGTATGTATGACCCTGACGTTTATGTGTTTCAGGGTCTGGATCAGGATCAGGATCAGGCTTGGGTGCGGGATCCGAGCAGGTTGATGACGGGCTACGCGAGTTCATTGCATCTGGGATAACGAGAGGTATCCTTGAGGCCACCCCTGTCATTTTAGGGTAGATCAAGGAGGGGATTATTGAGCTGATGGAGGATCGCCTTCGGACATTCAGGAGTGACTTGCATCCAGTCAGTCGGGTACGCGCACATTGTCCTTCAAGGACTTTAGGGGGATTGGTGTGCCAGACTTTCTTGGGACGAAGGACCCCACTGCTACCAGGAGATGGATCGAAGACGTTGAGTCTGTGTAGTTGACGAGCTTCTGCCCGGAGGGGTCGAAGGTCCGCTTTGCTGCGGGATTTTTGAGAGACAGAGCTAGAGATTGGTGGGAGTCGGTTGGTGACTCATAGGGAGCCCCAACCATCGAGGCCATGACTTGGTCGGACTTTGTGACCAGGTTCAGGGCTGAGTTTCCACCAGTTGTGGAGCTTCAGCATCTAGCCGGGGAGTTTCTGGATATGAGACAGACTACAAAGACAGTGACGGAGATCACCACCAAGTTTCGAGAGAGAAATTTGTTGGTACCTCAGTATGCGTGGGATGAGGAGATTCGGAAGACCCACTATCATGACATGTTGAGGGCTGACATTCGAGAGCATGTTAACTACTCAACATGTCTGACCTTAGAGTCCATAATTGCCAGGGCGAGGAAGAGGGAGATTGATTTGGAGCACCTCATGAAGAGGAAGGCAGAGGCAGAGTAGGTTACTGGGGTTTCGGGAAAGAAACCCAAGGGGTCTAACACTAGGTCAAAGGGCCAGCCGGCCCAGAGCCGCTATAGGAAATGCGACAGGCCGCATGAGGGAGCTTGTAGAGCGGGATCATCATGCTGGTACAAGTGCGGCAAGATGGGGAACTTTGGCAGGAGTTGTACTTCCCCTGCCCCTATTGTTCATATGTTAGACCTGATTTGCTTTCATTGCAATCAGAGAGGCCATAAAAAGGCCAACTGCCTCGGGTTGACAGCAGCAGCAGCAGCAATGCTAGTGGTGGCGCCAACTCCAATAACTACACGGGTTACGGATGGCCGAACGGTCAAGTCAGAGGCTCCAGTGGTGAGGAGTCGAGCTTTCTAGTTGACAACCGAAAAGACACGCGCCGCACCCAATGTGGTGATAGGTATGATCTCTTCTCTCTAACTTTTACTATATGTTGCTTGTGATATTGATGTGTTATGTTATATGTTTTGTTTAGGATCGTTCTATGTGAACGGTATCCGAGTTCAGGTGTTGTTTGATTCGGTTGCTACCCGATCATTTGTCTTTCTTGCGCTTAGTAAGAGGTTCCCGGAGTCTTCGGGCATGTTAGATTGCCCTCTAGAGGTCGAGATTGCGGACGACCGATCAGCTCGAGTAGTAGAGGTTTTAATGGATTTTGTTTTGAGGTTTTTCGAAGAGTGCTACTTGGTAGACTTAGTTCCCATACCATTGCGGTGGAACAAGGTTATTATAGGTATGGATTGGTTGAGCTGTAACATCCCGGAATAGCAAGAGTAGTGTTGAAGGGCTAAAAGTGTAAATCTTGAAGGGAGACTCGGCGAGTCCATGGAGGGACTCGGCGAGTAGAGTCGCGACTTTGGTCGCGTGTCAAGTGACCTACTCGGCGAGTCCAAATATGGACTCGGCGAGTAGGTGGTGGGCGAAGAAAACCCTAAATCCGGGGAATGAGCCCTATATAAAGATCATTATGTTTCCTCCACAGCCTCCTTGATCCCCCTCAGATTTGGGGTTGAAGGATGGATCTGAGGTTGCTACCTCAGATCTGGAGTGGAGAAGATCTTAAGAGAATTAAAGCCCCTGTTCTTGTGTAGTTAATGGAGCTATCATGTCCCAAACCTTGGTTCAAAGGTGAATAAGGCCTAGATCTCTTTGGATTCACGTAAAGTCTGCCACTTTACGTGATGGATGGATTGTAGGAGGTTAGATCTATGTTTTGGATCAATTTCATGGCCTGGAGTGCTTCTGAATTGATTCAGACCGGTGATATTTGGCGAGTCACATGGGTGGACTCGACGAGTTACTTGAAGATGGCCTGGAACTCGGCGAGTTGGAAGAACAACTCGGCGAGTAGGTTGAAGATAGCCTTAGACTCGACGAGTCTTGTCGAAGAGTCCCAATATTTCCTGGTTGAGTCGAAAATCGGTGAGTCAAGGGATGACTCGGTGAGTTGGGTGCGAGTGGACTCAGAGTTGTGGGACTCGGCGAGTCTTGGGGTGACTCGGCGAGTTGGGTCGCTAATTGAGGGAAGTTCTGAGCATAGGGACTCGGCGAGTCATCGGGTTGACTCGGCGAGTAGGGTCAGTCAGGGATTGACTTTGACTTTGTCCAAGGTTGACCAGTTGTCTTCCAGGGGTATTTTGGTAATTAAGGGTATTTATTGAATTAAATGTTTCGGTGTTCAGTGGAGGAGTTCGTGTCGGAGTTCGGAGCAGCGGGATCTTATCCTTACAGCCGGCAGATTTGAGGTGAGTTATCCTCACTATATCAACAGGGTCTAAGGCACCAAGGTCGGCCCTTATCGGATTGAGATCTGGGTAGTTGTTATTATTTTGTTGTTGTGATATGCTTGCATCCTGAGAGTTAGGACGGTATATGTTAGAGACCTGATTGAGATCGGTATCCTGAGAGATAGGGAGATGCTATGCTAATGACCTGTTAGGTCGGTATCCTGCTTAGAGTATGTTATGCTATGTGATCTGCTAGATCGGCTTGTTTGAATGTGAACTGTTATATGATTATATGTTTATGTGTACATGGTTGTTTGGACTGGAGATGGGTTGAGGCGGTCCTGCTTTGTGCTGTAGGCCAAGATACTCAGGGCGGACCGGTTGTTCCGAAGGCCCAGCGAGCGGTCCGGATATGCTGTAGGCCCCACGCGGGCGGACCAGACGTGCCGAGGCTCGGAGAGTGGACCAGGCCGACTGAAGGCCCGATGCGGGCGGACCAGTCATACTGTAGACTCAGAGAGTGGACCAGGTGAGTTGAAGGCCCAGTGCGGGCGGACCAACCACACTGTAGACTCGAAGGACATGACTAGACTCGGAGGATGGATCCGGTGGACTGAAGGCCCGATACGGCGGACCAGTCACACAGTAGACCCGATATGCATGGTTGTTCTATGTTCTGTTATGTTATGTATGTTATATGTTTTGGACCGGAAGGTCGTAGCCTGGAAGGGCGTATATGTGGTTGGTATTTTGGGGGTATCTCACTAAGCTTTCGGGCTTACAGTTGTGGTTTAATGTTTTTCAGGTTCTTCAGGAGACTGTGGCAAGGCGAAGGCGTGATCGTACCGCTCCTCATGATTTTGTAGCAATGTGATTCTGGGAATACTCTAAATGATTTGTATTGAAAACCTTTTTGTAAACAA